TTGTTGTTTAATATGGAAGTTGTTTCATATGGACAAAATCAATGAGTATGTATTTATAGACGGGTAAGGTAGGCACCTGGTCCCTTGTCTGGTGTCAGGAGACCTGAGGGTTTTTTTTTTTCTCAGATCTGTGTCCATTAGCTGTGTGACCTTGGGTAGGGCTGGAGTGTCTCAGGGTCTCAGCACTGCCCCCTACAGGCAGAGAGGTTGAATTTGGTTATCCCCCAGCCCTCTCTCCTATGATGGATGCACACACGACCAGCATCTTCCATCTCTTTTCCCTGCCACATGCACAGGATCGCATTTGTGCTATGCCAAGTGTAATATATCTATGTAATTTTGTATGATCACCGCATTATAAGAGCCTTTTCTCTCTGACACATGGCATTCATGGGGATATATGTTTAGGAGTTTTCAATGATCAGCTTCCTTGGGGGTGGTGGCAACTGGCTTCCTACATATTCAGAGTTAGAGGTTTATTTTATTTTATTTTTTTCTCTGTGGAGTCCAGTTTCTGAGAACTTATGAGATTCAGGACAGTTTTACATTTTCCCTTCTTTTCTATCTTTCCTTGCTTTTTGAAACGGCATCAGTGTAGGGGCAGATGTTGTCTCCCTCCGTCTCCCTCCTTTCACACACTGCACAGTGAATCATCTTAGCCTCTCTGTAAAATTTTAGCTTAATGGAGTCCTGGCATTTCTGATGAGACGACGAACTTAATTTTATAGAACAACCTATTGAACAAGCTGTTCTTGGACATTCCCATCTCAACTAAATGTTAAAAGTATTAAAATTCACATTAGCACCAGAGGAAATTTTGCATGGGTAATCCTTTAATACAGTGTTTTATGGCTCTATTAGCGGCACAGCAGCTGGTGACATGATGAATTTAATCCATTAAAAAATTCAGCAAGAGGTTTAAAAGTCAGCTTTTTAAAACATTATCTTGCTGCAAGGAAAGAGAACTTCTCCTCAGGGCCAGAAATGTGGCGGCTTCATACTGTGGCAGGTATTGGAAATGAACCTGCATGACCAACTTTCACGTCCTCAGGTTCTGCACCTGGAGACAGAATTCCAAGCCCTGGATTCAGGATGCTCGTGCTGGGAACACTGGAACATTCCCGGTCACACATCGTCATCCTTCCCTTGTTTCCTGCAAGAGTTTTACAATGTGCATTAAGTAGTGGCATTGTCTACGAACATATTAATATTTTTATCAGAGCCAACGTAAGCATTTGTGTGAAACAAGATTTGCTTCAAGGTTTCCTTTAGTGGTTCATGAAGGCTTAAGCAAGGAAACATTTCTTGTTTCTAATATCAATAATCTTCTGCAAAGTCACATGAGATTAATAACTTCGGCCTGAGGGTTGGATGACCTCCTCTTGAAGCAATGCTCCTGGTTGGTTCTGTGGGCACTGGAATGGGCTGGGCACACAGTGTGGCAAGGTTGCCTCTCAGATGGATTAACATTGGAAGGTTTGTCTAGGAGTTGGTTAAGGGTTTTAACCTGAAGCGTCAGATTCTTTAATAATCTTTTCAAATTATGATTTATTTTCTCATATTTTGAACACCCCCAATATGTCTCTGTAAGTTACTGTGTAGAGTTATTGCTCTCATTCAGGAATTTCTTAAAAGATTTTTTTAAATGAGCATGCATTTCCTAGCCAAAGCAGTAACAGGTCACCTTGTACCAAAGTGCCCCATGTCTGTAAAGGTGTTTGTTACTGTATTTCAACCCTTGTGGATTAAAAATCAGATAGCTTAACTCAGCAGTGGGTTTTGCTGAATAACCCATTTATATAATTCCCGTGCTCACGTGAAGTCACTCATCTTCTGTCCTCACTTAGCATAACTCGACACAAAGGTGGAATTGCCATTTCTTGTGGTGCAGCTATTATGCCTGTAAAAGCAGAAATGAAATCTACTACACCTGCCTCCAAGGATATCTTTAATGGTCCCTACAGTGTAAACATACACCAGGTTGAAAACAGCTATTGTATTTTGGGGTACTAAAAATTGGTTTATTTTTCTTCCAGTATGAAAAGCTTCATCTCTCTCAAGGTCCATGGGACACCTGGATAGAAAGCTTCTTTCTGACCCATGGAAGGAACATGAACTATAAAATTGTGTTCTGCATTTCTGACACCCCCACCCCCATACAAAACATGGCCACTAAAAGGTTTGCTTGCTTTCTAGAAAGGTGTTTGATATAGTCAGAAAACAGTTGCATGTGAGAGTTGATAGCGTCGGCTTGAGTGGAGTCTGTTTTGATAATATCCGATCCTGTGTTTGAAGCCTCACGTGGGGTTCCCCTTGCGCCCTTACAGAGGCTCCTTTTCTGGGTGTGCAGCAAAGTGTTTCTTTTCCCATCTACATGGTTCCTCATGGCTGGGCATGTTGTAAGAAGGGTGATGCAGCCTGCGCTCTCAACTAATGGCGCTACCTTGAAAAAGAAAAAAAATACCAACATAAACGCCACTAACATGATTTTATTGCTAAAGAAAAAAACATGCATAATAAATCCAGTCAACGATGTCAGTGGAAACACAGACAGCATTTTTTAGGCAGACACAATAAGCAAGAGGACTCAAGGTGGCATTTGGGGTTTTATAGTGAGACATAATAAGGTGCTATAAAATAATCAGACCTCTTGGTCAAGTGTAGGGGGTTTGAGAAGGTTGAAGATGTTAGCTGTCTCTACTCTGAGGAAATTTCAGTGAACACGATTTGTGTTTCTTGGTGGTGCTTCAGGGTAGTCAGACTTAGGCCAAACTGGATGATTCCATGTTCAATTCGCTCATGTTACTACCTTAAAAACAAAACAAAACTAACTTTCTTATTAACTTGAACAGCTTCTATTCCCTCTACCTCCTCATGGAATGTTCTGGAGACCAGCCTCCACCCATCAGTGTATCAATGACCCATGGGTGGCTTCCCTGTACATTGGCCCTATGTATTAAATGAATTAATCAAAAAAATAATTTTTGTGATGCTGACCATTGAACTTATGGCCTCAAACATTTAAGATAAGAGCTCTGTCTACCACTGGCCTACATCATTGGCCTCTGGTTTTCCTTGGGATGAGATCTCACTATGTCGCCAGGGTGATCTCAGGCTCTTTGCCCTCCATCTTGGCCTCCTGAGTGCTGGGATCACAGACATGCACCATTGCACCTGGTTCATTATTTATTTGCTTTGATGTGGTGCTGGGAATTGAACTCAGGTTCTTGTGCATGCTACGCAAGCCCTCTCCTGCTGAGTCAAATCCCCAATCCATGTTTAAAGATGAAGACATTTTTAGCTCAAAAGCCTGATGGTGCTTATTTCAAATATTGCACATCAAGTACTTTAAAAAGAACTCCAACAAGCACAATTTTAAAGCATTTAGGGAACCATCCATTTGCTTTGAATAGCCACAGATTTCATCCAACAGCTGTCACCCACCAATAAGGTAGGACTTTACTGTTACAGGGTTCCAAACTGCTGTTTTTCCCCCAAGAGACCCCCTTCAGCCCAATCTTTTCCCACTGGGCTGCTGCACAGTTTCACTCAGACGCATTGGTCTCGTCCTCCTTCTGGCAAGCTCTTTTGCCCTTTCTCCCCTCCCGGTGATGGTTTTCTTCTGAGGCATCCAATGAGAGCTCTGATGGATGCTCCATGCAGTCTGTCCTAGTATCACTGATAAAGCGTGGGTGGCATTGCCTCTTGTGGGTATGTCTTTTCGCTCGAGCATCCCTGATCCTTTCAACTCCTGATACTTACTCTGACCTGTTCCTTCTCCTCTTTCCCCCTCCACTCCTCTTTCTCTTCTCCTCCTCCTTCTCTGGGTAGCAGCTTTGACTGCTCTGAGCTGAGCACCCGGGGATGGGGTTTCTTTAGAGGTGTAGAAAAGGCTGCCAGAGAATGCACAGCTATGGCTGTGAATGAGCAGAGGAGCACTGTTCCCCTGAAGAGTAGCTCCAATGAGAATCTCCATGTTGGTGCCTGGGACACTGCAGTCCCTGTGCAGGTAGCACAGAAGCCCTCTGAAAGGGCTCTGAAAGAGTCTGTTCTCTCTCACCTGTGTTCTGATAGTCATCAATTAGTCTCCTTGTTTCTCTACACCTGACATCCATCCATCCATCCATCCATCCATCCATCCATCCATCCATCCATCCATCCATCCATCCATCATCCATCCATCCTGTACATTTATAAAGGATTTGTGTGTAGATGTCTGTATGTTTGTATAGAGTTTTGTACATATGTAGAGGGTAGAGGTCAATGTTGAATGACTTTTCCTTCCTTCCTTCCTTTCTTTCTTTGAGACATGGTCTTCCACTGAACCTGGAACTTATTGACTGGGCAAGACGGGTTGGCCAGCAAGTTTCTGGGATTCACCAATCTCTGACTCCCCGGAGCTGGGACTATAATAAACGTGGGCATGCACCCATGTTTTGATATGGATTCTAGCATGGAACACAGCATTTTCCCAGACTTAAGCATCTCCCCAGTTCCTATCACGCAGGTTTTAACTGATTTCTCCCTCACATCCAGCATGCTGTGGGTTCTGGGATGTTGGTGAAGAATGAAATGGTATCCTTTAGATTAGGATGCAGAGGGAATTCCAGGCAGACAGGAAAGTGAGTTAAGAGAGATGCTCATGTTCCCAAAGCCCATTATATCTCAGGGACACAGAGAAGGCAGAGAGGAAGGAGAGCTTGACAGTCGGGGAAGTAGCTCTCTTTTTTTTAATCACCTAAGACCTGAGATCAGAGGAAGGGAATCATACAGACACCACAGACTCTCCTGAGAAAGTCTGAGACAGTTAGCCTAGTGTAGGGAAAGTTATAATTCCATAACATTAAATTATAGTGATTCCCGAGCTCCAATGCACAGCAATTCTAGGAAGTTCTCACGGTAAAATCAGAGCTCAGTGGTGGATGACGTGAGGTCACAAAGGTAGTTTCCAGAACATCCTACAGTGTTCTGTGAGACAGTCTGCCAGGAGTTCATGATCATGTGGGTTGTTGGAGGATGATCATAGGAATCAGCAAGTCTGTGAAGCCTGAGTCTATACCTTTGACCAGAGCCCAGGATGGGTGATGTGGTTCCCAAACTATGTTTTGAATAGCTAAGTCCCCAAGATCTCTTCCTGTCTCTTCCTCCCCTAAGGTAGGAAGAAACCTTCTGCCAACTAACTCCATTTTGTTTGTTTGACTGCCATCACTGACTTCAGCACCACCACTGAAGCTTTGGGGAACACCACACGATCGGCCTCATGGTGTTTTACTACACCATCAATCAAGAATTTTGTTTACAGTGAGTATTGCAATATATGAGTGTGCCCTGGAAGTGTCATGCTGTATTTTATAAGAATATCTCCCATATGCTTGTCTGCTGTCTCTGAGAATCAACCTTAGCAAGATCAGCAGGAGGTAGAGTCTGTTTGCTGTCTCACAATGGTGAGGACTGAGCACCACAGGGGAAGTGTGATGTGTGCAGTGAGGTCATTAAAAGTCATTCAGTCCCAACATGCTCTCTAGCAGGGTAACTGCTCTGAATTTGAGATTTGAGATTCCACTCACCACATGGGCAAAACCAGGGGTGGGGGGTAGGGTTGGGCAAGAGGGAGAAGGAGAGAGAGAGAGAGAGAGAGAGAGAGAGAGAGAGAGAGAGAGAGAGAGAGAGAGAGAGAGAGGTAGAGAGGTCTTCCCAGCACAACCTTAAACGTGAGTGGCATTTTCCAAACCCAGGTACAAATTATTATTAGTGTTCAAACCACTGCTTTGTGGTGATTTTTTTGTAAACAATCAGATTAAGGATTTGCCTCTTAAAGACTTGGTGTAATCCTCATTCGAGCTGACATAAATAAATAAACTGCATTTAGAGTTTTCCATTGATTGACTCCTCATTGTAGTTTTCACAGCTTAACCTGTCATCTGTCTCTCCCTGTCCCCTCTCACTTCTGTCCTCTCCCCTGATCTCTCTTTTCTCCCCCACTTCTCTTTCTTTGTCCCTATACCCTTCCAATAACAAGCTCTATCCCATAATACCAGATGACACAACCTGAAAGCAAACAGATGCCCATTAAAATGAATGACTGTCAAAAATTTTCCATGTGTATTTGATATTAACGAGTGCTAGTGTGAAGGTGCAATTCAAATAGTTTATTATTGTTATAGGTTTGCAGCAATATATTACACTTTACGCCTTGGCTTGGAAGTTGATTACAAGTTTTATGAGACTGAGTGACTGTTATTGGCAATCTTGATGTTTTCTTTCTCCCCCAAATATGTCACAGACAATTGATTTATAGGCAGCTGATGATTTTTTATATTATATCATTTCAATAAAAAAATTAAAGAAGAAAGTGTAGAATGGGAAATAGACGGAGGATAATGAAGGTGCCATCAGTCGTGTGGGGGCATTTTTAGAGTGCATTAATAACCCGCATGTGCCCAGTAGAATCCTTTCAGAGATCATTTGATATTCTACATGAGGCACAAAAACCAGAAGTCATCAGAGATTTTTATAAACACAGGTGGTGCTTATTAACTGAGAAATAAAAAGTTTACACTCCTGATGATTAGTGCCAGCACATTTTCACAGGCCTCTGCACTTTTGGGAAATGGTTTTTATTTTCCTCCCAATTCTGATGACTTTTATTCTACACGAACAGCTTGAGTGAGTGATGCAATGAGTCTGTAAAGCATCACCGACAGATCCAAAGGTGGGGGAAAGCCTCCTCTCTTACAGCAGTCATTGTTGTGATGCATGGCCGTCTACGAGGCTTAACAAATGTGGCTACACAGCCTCACTGCTGATCGACAGAAATGACTGGCTAAACTGGGGAACTGCGATTTCACACATACTCTCTGCTATGCCTTGCTTGGAAGATTTTTGTCAGCATGACTTAAATGGCCAGTTAGTTTGTGAGATTTTAGTGGGTATGAAAAGTAACATCCAAGTAACAACAGACAACGAAAAAGTGAGAGGAGGAGGAGGCATCTGGATGCCAAAGGGGCAGAGTGCTCAAATGCTTAAGGGTTTAAGAGTGTCTGAGGGAGGGGCCAAGCTTGGAGGTTGGCTACATTACTTCATATATTCTCTTGGAAGAAGAAAAGGAGTGCAGAAGAGGCAATAGACATGTTCAGAAGGAAACATTTATAGTATAGGAGCCACGGGTTAAAGCCTGTGGAGGGCAGGCAAAGCAGGAAGTATGCACTGGACATTTGGAACACATAGAAGGAACATGGTTTGGAGACACTGCTGGATACAGGCCAAGTCCTGGTCCAGAGACTGATAAATGTGAACTTAATACCGGTCTTAGTGGCAATGTAAAGGATAATCAGATGTAACAGTACTTTTTCTATGGGCACAGAACTTTCTTATTAAACGGTTTCAATGCTGCACATCGACACAATGTCCTACTCAGTAGGCTGTAGAAACACTGTACACTGTGAAGGGGAGCAGGTAAAATGTTTCCTTGGCTAAGTGTGCATACGTAAGTTTCATTTGCCATGTCTCTCCCTATCATGTGCTATCTCTGTACCTCTGAGTCTCCTCCCTTTACCTGTTTCTGTATCTCTACCATCTGATTTCTGTATCTCTCTGTCTCTCTCATATATATATTATATATATCTCCATGTCACCTCTTACTATCATTTATGTATCTCTTTCTGTTTCTGTATCTCTGTATTTACCTATATATCTCTATTTTATATTTATATATCAATTATGCATCTATTAGCTATATACTTATCTATCTCTTTATCTCTATGTATATTTTTGTCTACTATCTGCCTATCATCATTATTTCATTATAAACTACCTAAGATGATGCCATAGAAGACTAATCAGTATCCATCAGAATGATATAGTAGCTAGAGAAAATTAATTGCTCAAAACAAACATTTGCATGTGAGCAGGGGACCCAGAGTGCAACTGAGATGGACAACTTGGATTATTGAACCTGGTTTTTTGAGGGCACCTGCCAGGATGGGGTACCCACAGTTAGATAAGAAGAAAGAAGCTATAATGCACTATAGAGGTCACCGAGGCAAAGTGACAACTTCCTGTCATACATGCTAGAAAGGTTTGAACTCTCAGTGTAAATGGATCCAAGTTGGATCGGTCTAAGAAAAATGTCAGTTCTCAATGTCAATGTCTGGGAAGTTCTCTAAGACACTGGAACACTTGCCTATCTGAGATGAAGGACAAAAAGACACCAAAGAACTATAAAGACAACACAGAGGAGACTATGAATAAGAAATAAGAAGGTATATTTGTGGCTTCAGTAGCCATTATTTGGCAGCTGGAAATTAAGATGGAAAGTCCTAGGAAAGACAGAACTAAAGGAGAGAAGAAACTTAAAAATCTACACAAGGGACCATCCTGAATAACCCTGAACAGTTCATTTAGGAAGGGACTTCAAGCAACCCAACCACAGCTAAGAGACTTTAGCCAGTTAGTTACCTGCTTAACAACTACATTTTAGGGAAATAAACATAATCTATAGATTTGACAGTATAGGATATCTAATCTCCAGGACAGAGTCTAAAACTGCCATACACATGGACAAGTGGGAAAATGTGACTCATATTCAAGTAAGCAAGAAGTCAATAGAAAGTGGTCTCAAAATGACACAGATGTTGTCAAAGAGGTTTTCAATACAGTTACTGTAATTATTGTTCATACAGAGGAAAATAGGCTTCAAATGAATGGGTGGGTATGAAGGAAATCTCATCAGGGAAGCATGAAGCATTAAAAAAAATCCAAAGGAATTGTATCAGTAAAGATACAATACCTAAGAATTTAAAAGTACTGCATGTTTTTGGCAGCATACTAGATTTGATAGAGGAGTTTGTGATGAAATAGTGCAGATAAAGATATAATTATTTCAAGAGAAGCTTTCAGGAAACCATCTGAAACCATGGCCAGCACCCATACCCGGAAGATAGTTGTAATTTGAGTCTCATAAAGAAAAGAGAAGAACAAGAAGAAAAGTTGTTTGAAGTAGACATAACGAGAACATCTATAAAATAGCCAGGGAAAGACATTTTGTAGGCAAGAGAAGAATATTTGGGAAAGTCACTAATTTCTCACAAGAAACTTGGGAGACCAAAAGGGAATGAAGTAACTTCTTTAAAGTTTTGAAATAAGGAACAACTGACAACCTCAAATTCTATATTTATTAAATTTGTTCCATGTAAATAAGGACAAAGAAAACCATTTTCAAAATAAAAACAATCAAGAGAATTTGTCAACAGCAGCAATTCACTAAAGACACTAAAGAAGATCTTTGATGGAAAGTAACACAGACCAGATGGAAACTTCTATTTTGGGGAAGGAATGAAAGGCATTAGAGATGGCAAATGCACAGGTAAATATGAAATAATTTTAAATTTTTTCTTTGAAACTACATGGGTCTGTCTGTAGTAATTACATAACTTTCTTATGGGTGAAATGTTTAGTATATAGATGTAATGCACATGTAAACTATAGTACAGAAGATAGGAAGTAGTACAGCAAGGGTTGTAAAATAATGGAAATTAAGACACATATTATAGTCAGTATTCAATGCACTTAAACTATGCAGAGCATAGTAAGTTAAAAGCTGGTAAATCAAAAACGTTAAAAAGATATTTGGTGATCTAAAATAAGGCAAAGAAAGGAGATCAGGGAACTGAAACCAAAAGAGGACAGGTAGCAAATAAGAGTAAAACTGGACCAATTGAGAGCACATCAGCGGTGTATTCTTAAACACTGGATACTAGTAAAAGGCAGTGACGAACAGAGTGGACGGTAATTTATTGGAACATGTACATAAAGACCAAGATGGAACAAAAGGAAACGTCAGGCAAACAGCAACCACAAGAGAATAACGGAATTAACTTCAGATGCAATAGACTTTAAGAAAAACAGTGGTGTGAGGGATAAATCCATTTTATAATGATGAAGAGGCAAGAACCCATCATTTCCAGAAAAGCTTGAGACTGATGCAGGTCTCTCTCAGCACGCAATTTTTATAATAAGCAGACAAAAATATTAGTAAGCCATGGAGAACACTTACTGGCCATCTTGAACTAAATTATGCTTATAGACTACCATACTCAACAACTCAAGATGTGTATTATTCTTAGTAAGCATAGTATGATTAGTAATATAACATGAAGGTTAATGTAAGATGTATTGTATAAATGTCAAAGAGCTTAAAAGAATTTATACTACAAAATTTCTAGTATGTTCTCTGATTATGACAAATTTTGTTTAAAATAAAAATGGTCTAGCAGGGCAGTGTTGGCACATGCCTTTAATCC